CGTTCACACAGTGAACTTCTTCAGGTGACCTGTTCATTTGTATGTTGGGTATAAAGAAATTCTTACAGCATAAAGTGTTAACATGAGCAAAGAAATCTTCGGTTTAGTATTAACTGTATTTTACATTTAAAGTTCTGATAGGCCTACTTATGCAGTAAGAGACTAGCTAGCCACAGATAGAAAAGGGTGGAGCCTGATCACTGAGGGTGTAAACGCTACAGACGACGGTTAGGAAAGCAGATGATGATACAACTATGCTTAAGATTATACAGGCATCTAGGAAATGCACTAATATTCATATTCATATTATTATAATCATTATTATTATTAACATCAATTTTGCTTATTTATTTCTATATTTATATTATTTTACAGTAAAGCCGATTGTAATAAACCTCAGTGAAATAAATAAATGCAATGAGGAAAAAAAGAATTCGACTTTCTGTGAATGATCACGTGTATTATATTATTGTTTATAAGTATTTACGCCTATATGCTTATTTTTTACGAAGCTACCAGCATAATATCGTCAATCAAACATTTATATAAATTAATATCATAAATCAAACATTTATATTATTTGCTGTTACATTTATGACTTCATGACTGATATGACCTGAAGGATTATGTTTTCCTAGCTTTCTAAAAACAGACATGTTAGTCACAAAAAGTCTGATAGTAATAGGATTACAATACTCTGCGTAGGACACTTTTCTACCATCAACGGATAATCAGGGAAAAATATGGATATTGACATATATTTTGAAAGATTGGGTGAATTCGGGAGATATAATGTCATATTCCTTACATTAGTTTGTGTATTTGGTTCCGCAGTACCTTCATGGCAAATTTTATCATTTGTATTTATATTCTATGAGCCGCCTCATCATTGCAAGCCCGATGGGGAGCTTAACGCCAGTATACCGCTTGCCGATAATGGAGGATTTGAAAGCTGTGTTATGTACGCCGATGATTACAGATACAATCGAAGTATCGATACTGTACCGTGCAAGGAAGGTTGGTCGTATGACGTAGAAGAAAATGAGGCTACATTAGTAACTGAAGTAAGACACACAATAACTTGTATTATATTACATATTATTTAACGTTTAACATCTATTTATACATATTTATAGCAGGGAACAATTAAATTGGCTGCTAACTTGCTTTCAGATATTACATTAAGTTAGCGCCCAAGTTCAAGATAATTAAATTCCGTTCTCAGATACTAGACCTCAACAATGAACCAAGACAACTTGATTGCAGTTTCTTTATATGTTTAATTTCATATCAAAGAATATATACCACCACTCGTTTCCATTCATGAACGCAATTCACGTTATTTTTTGTTTTTCTTAGTTTCCACATAAACAACATGCAATATAAGGTACGCAGGTAATACGTCTACAAAATGACCATATTAAACATACTTTATATTTAAGTTTATATTTGATAATAGCTGTGTCTACACGAATTTAAACAACGAGATATTAATACGCGACTGTAACAAAGTATTAGGCTTATTTAGAGAAGTGCTCCAATTTCAAATCTCATTGAAACCGTCTTACTTTTGAAGTGCTGGTATCATATTGATAAATAATAAGTCGCAACACACGAATCGGCGCCAACACGCAGTTGCTCCTTCACCATGTATCATAATAGTTCTGTCAGCACAACCATTGACCAACCATTCACTATCACAGCAGTTATGTTTTGCACTGAATAACAACCAAATCAACAGACAAACAAACAGCACAGTAACGCTGCAATTTAACATCAAAACATTACATAGTGATATCATTAACATAGTCATCATTATCAACTTTTATCATGAAAATTCATTCATCAACAATAACATCACTAAGTTTACCAATACACATATCAAAGCTTCACGATCATAATATCTGTTTTAACATTTGGACATAAAAAAAAACCTTCCATGAAACATTGTTGCTTTGCATAGGCCTATATTTATGTCACCACCTAAATGACATTTGAAATATTTAACAACGCATTTCTTAAATGTGCATATATCCATGACTTTTATTTTAACTAACATTATCATATATTCATATTTTACATTTGATATATTTTATAAACTCAGTGAAACAATAAACTCACGTTTTCGATTGTAACTTGTTAACATGACGTCCATTTCAGAGTCTCCGGACTTCTATCGTCACTTTGGGTCACACACACATGAACCACGACATAACGACGGAATACCAGTTTTATTCGCCAAAATTGCAACATACAATTCAACATGATATGCCTGCAAGACGCGCGGGCTTTACACCTATCAAACTATGGCACACTGGTTTCATTTATTAAGCATATAATAGGCCCGCAAGACGCGCAGGCTTTACACCTATCACAATTTCTGATAGGCCTGCAAAACGCGCAGGCTTTACACCTATCAGACCACGCCCGTCACTCTCGAAATGGCAAGTTAGTATGAATTACACGCAGCATTGAATTAGTCACACAATTGCAATTTCACCTGGATATTTGAATTCGACTTAAGGACTCGAGAACTTCTTGAGGACGCTGTTTATGAACTAATCCCAAAACGATCTAACGCAAATAGTATCAGGTTAAACGTAACAGCGGATTCAAGAGGGCCCAGTTACCCCCCTCCCCCCCGTAATGGATTTATGCATATTCCTACTATATCTATAACTTTAAAAATTCAACACTTTCACTTATTTTACTTAGTTTAAACAACATTTATTCAAATATGATCACGCTTTTAAACTACTCTACTCAACAAATCTGCACCTACATTTTTGCTGCCCTTAATAACCTCAATCTTATACCGATATGGTTGTAGCGCTAGAGCCCAGCGCATTATTCTTCCGTTGGCAACTTTAGATATTCTTAAGCATGTTAAAGGTTGGTGATCAGTTTGTATTGTAAATTCTTTTCCATACAGAAATGTGGAAAATTTCTTTACAGACCATAATATCGCTAGACACTCTTTTTCCATCACCGAATATCGTTCCTGATGTTTATTAAGTTTCTTACTGGCGTACGCGACAGGAAATAATTATCCATCATGCTCTTGCAAAAGCACTGCACCGATACCATAATTTGAAGCATCACTTCTAAGCGTAAAATCCTTAGTTAAATCTGGAAAATGCAAAATTGGCGAGCTAGTAAGTTTAGTCTTTAATGTCTGAAACGACGTTTCTTGACTGTCCTCCCATAGTACATTATTTGGTTCACGCTTGCTTGTGCGGTTTGTTAATGGACAGGCAATTGCCGCGAAATTCGGAATAAACCGGCGGTAATATCCAGCTAGTCCTAAAAACGAGCGGAGTTGTGTTTTAGTTTTGGGCTGTTTAAACTGTTTAATAGTTTCAAGCTTAGTTGGTTTGGGTTTCAGTTCACCTTTCCCTACAACATGGCCTAAAAATTCAACTTCGCTGTATCCTACATAACACTTAGTTGGCCTAGCTGTAAGATTTGCTTTACGCAATCTCCGGAATACTTGATCTAACGTTTTAAGATGTTCCTGCCATGATGCTGTGTGTATCAAAACGTCGACAATGTAGTTATGAACATGCTTTAACCCACTCAATAATGACCTCATTACTCGACTAAAAGTGGTTCCGGAATTGACAAGCCCAAATGGCATCATGTTAAATGTATATAACCCATTGGGTGTAATAAAGGAGGCATATTTTCGCGATTCTCTATCCATTGGTATCTGCCAATATCCCTTTGACAAATCGATTTTAGTAAAGTATACATCTGTGGCCAACTGAGAAAATATTTCCTCTTGATCTGGAATAGGTTCCGCGTCAAATATCGTAACTTGATTAGGTTTTCTCATATCTACACAACTACGTAACGAACCATCTGGCTTTCGTACACACACTAATGGGAATGCATATGGGCTATTACTTTTGGAAATTACCCCCCAATTTTAACATGTTCTCTATATATTTTTGTACTTCATCTTTGATTGCATGAGGAATTGGATACGGTTTACAGCGAATTGGTCTACTATCAGTGACCTTAATTACATGTTCACCTAAAGTGGTTTTACCTGGTATGTCTGTCAAGACATCACCATACTGATTAAGCATACATTTCACTTGCGATATTTTATCTCCGGTAAGCTCTGAATTATTAGAACATCTTCCAACTTTTCCTTGGCTTCCAACCTGGGTAGTTGCAACATCTCCTCGTCATTGGAAAGCATCTGCATTTCTTGGCTATAATCATCTATTGCTTCTTCTTCCAACACTACAAATGCTGCTACACGTGGTAGTGTCGTTGAATTAACGTCATCTGACCTGCGATAATAATTCTTATGAAGGTTAACATGAAACAGTCGATGTTTATGGCCTAAATCTATTCTATAATTCATAGCATTGAGTTTCTTAATTACTGGAAAAGGACCTTTTCATTGCATTAGTAACTTGTTTTTGTCATTTGGCAGTAATAACAATACCTCTTCACCTTCATCAAATGATCTTTCTCGAGTTTTCTTGTTATAATAGAAACGTTGTTTGACTTGTACTTTACTCAATTCCTCTCTTGCTAACATGCACGTGTTTTTGCAAATCAATTATATACTAGTATACCGTCTTGGTCTCAGCTTCTTTGTACTTTCCAGTCCAAAGTTCTTTTAAGATTGTCATGGTCCTCTTACAGAGCGTCCATACATCAACTCAAAAGGAGCAAAGCCAGTACTTGCTTGTGGCGTCTCACGATAAGCAAACAGGAGAGGTGCGATGTACCGATCCCAGTCCTTTGGGCGTTCTTCACACATGCGTTTCAACATGAGCTTAAGTGTTCCGTTGTATCTTTCACACAGCCCATTCGTCATAGCATGATAAGGTGTTGTAGTAAGTCCCCGTATCGACAACAATCGATTGACCTCCTTCATAATACCGGATACAAACTGGGTACCTTGGTCTGTCAACATCTCTCGAGGAATTCCTAATCTGCTATACACTTTAAAGAGTTCTTCAGCAATGACTTCTGCCTCTATGGATTTAAGAGGAACGGCTTCTGGATATCTAGTGGCGTAGTCCATCAAAACTAAAATATAACGATGTCCCCTTTCAGTAATAGGCTTAATTGGACCCACCAAATCCACAGCGATTCGTTCAAAAGAGGTTAAATTAAAGGCATTTCACCTAATGGAACCTTGGACAACCTTCCCTTTTGGATTGTCCTTTGACAAATGTCGCAGGATTGGCAATATCTTTTGACATCCGACCCCAAGCCAGACCAGTAAAAATTAGAGAGAATTTTATCTGTAGTTTTACGTGTCCCTTGGTGCCCACCAAGTGATGACTCATGTGCTAATTTAAGAACATTTTTCCTTTACTTAGAGGGAACAACAACTTGATCAATTTCATCAATATACTCAGAGTTTGGTGTATGAAACTCGCGATATATGATTCCCTCCCGAATAACGAATATTTCTATGCTTCCGTTCTTATTACACTTACGTTCCCCAGTATCTACACGCTCTCTGATCTTACTTAATGTTGGATCCTCTTGTTGTGCAGCACAAATAATTTCAGGAGTTAGATCATCTTCATCTGAAGGAACGACAAATAGTGGTTTAAATTGCTTCTGCATTCGATCTGTTTTCTGTTTTCTAGACTCCACAGCGGCAGCGATATGATGACCCAACGGTGTTTCTTCATCAGAGTCAACCTGAATTACAATGCTATTTGTCGACATATTACCAACAAGATCCCGCACCCCTGGATACTGCCCAATGATGAGATCACATACAATGATGAGTCTCCATAGCCAAAGCATACACTTTGCCTTCCAGGAACGGAGTTGATATATCTATAAGTACAACAGGATACTTTCGTTCGGTACCATCTATAAGATAACATGTATGGGACGTTCCTACGTATTGATGTGGTTTTACAAACTTCTGACATACTACAACCCCACTACATCCCGTTTCTCTATACATATGAACATCATTGTCACCAATGTTACCGTCTTCAATGGCATCCGTTTTCTGTCCCAATGTTGGCAAGCTGCGCCTACAAATTCGCGTTGACCTTCACATTGTACCTGTGGCAAATGATTGTTAACTAAATACGGATTAAATCCTGAAAACATGAGACCTAAAACATCATGACCTACGGACCTTTGACTATCAACTGTTTTTTTTTACCATAATGATTTCGGCATTCGGCATCTGATCTAAGACTGGAATATCTAAAGTCTTCCGACTGAGATGGATCGCGACCATTCACATTACCCATAACTTGATTTTGGGCGCTACAATACCCATCTACTACGTGCGAAAAGTGATTATCTTTAAAATTAGGTGAACTATTACTTGGATATTGAGTATCTGCACGGTCTGACAGTAATGCAAGTACCCTTACGATAACAATATCGGGCCCTATGTCCTTTTTTTTTATTACAAACAAAACATGTGATAGGCGGTGGTCTGTTCGAAACAGGGTAATTAATGAGTCTATTTCTATTTATCTGACCAGGAGGTGGGCTTCCGCGACCTAATTGTTGACTAATCTTATATTGTCCCATTTTTAAGTTATGTCTTTTTTGTGAAACTGTGCTCGTTCGTTTATTATACTGATCTGCTATTTCAGCCAATTTCTCAGAGTTTTTTGGTTTGCGTTCAATGATGTGACTAGCCATACTCCTTGGACAACTGTGCAAAAACTGATCCAGTACAAATAAATCAATTATATCTGTTATGCCTTTACCACAATCTGCTAGTTCTATGCACCTTTGCAAGTATCTAGCTATACGAATAACATACTGTTTAGCACTCTCGCCTACTTCCGGTTTAGAATTTTTATATTTATTTCTAAAGCCGTCTTCGGTAAGTTCATATCTCCGTAACAGAGCACTTTTCAAACTATCATATTTGTCAGCTTCTTTAGGTGACAATGTATCGTATATTTGTAAACCTTTCCCTGTTAACAAAGTACCTAAGTTGATGGCAAACTACCGTATCCCATTTTTGTGAAGTGGCATATCGTTCAAACCTAGTAATATACGCGTCCATTTTATCTTTATTTTCATCAAATGGAGAAAGTTTAAGGGGTTTGTACCTGGGCGAACTATCCTGACTATGACTATAATTTACAGCCTGAGCTGTTTTTAAGTTAGCTTCTGCAGCTTTCATCTTAAATTCTACCTCTTCTAACCTTGACGCATCACTACGTTCACACTCCTTAGCGCGAGCCATTTCCATATCTCGCTCATGCTGTCCGTGAGCTTCGCTTTCTTCTTTCTCATGTTCGATCTTGCTTTCTGTAATTTCCCGTTCATGTTGTAATCGTTTCTCTACAATTTCGCGTTCTTGCTCTAACTCTAATTTCGCGCGCTCACGCTCTAATAACCTCTCTCGATCTAAATCACGTTCCCTTTTTAATCTATCTCTCTCTTCAATCACATACTGTTTTAACTCATCACCCGCAAGACCAAACTTTTCACTTAACGCTGTCAATGTTTCTAACTCCTTATAATACTCCATGTCCTAACTATATATTTATAATTCTAATTATGATGGATAATAAACAATGATCTAAGCAAAGCACGAGTAACAATTTAAAGTGTTTTAGTGTAATATAGTAGTAGGCCTATACAGAATATTGTTATGAAAGAAAATGCTCATGAAAAATCCAGATACACTACAATAATACGCACATCTGCATATTGAAGAACATAAGATACAATAAAATAAAAAGGAAAAAAAATAATAAAAACACTCCTGTATAAGGCAGTAGACACACGCTACCGCTGCCTATTTTTGTTTGTGAAACAATTCCTGTCACTGTCACTGAAAATGAACTCATGACCCTGGGTTTGGAAATTAAGCAAATTCAAACCAACTCCACTGTAGTAGACTCCTTTTTAGGCTGTTGACATTGAGACAGATGAGTACAGTAGTATACAAAATAAAGTAAAAAACAAACAAAACGCAGACAAGAAATGCTAGATTGAATTCAACTAGTTTATCGGCATAATAAAAATCTCAGTAACAGAGTAAAGGCAAAATATAGATAGTAAGCCTTGGCCACTGATATCATTATCATTTTTTTTCCTTTATAATACTACCTTCTGTTTTAGAATATATCTTATGAGGGGAAATCCGTACACAATTTCGATTTTCAAAAACTAGAATATCGTTTTAATAATCGTAATTTGGTTGTTTATTTCTTTTAATATAGCTGGATTTGGTGTGTCAAGATTCTATCTACGCTGCAAACGCTGTCTCAGTTTACTTTGCTGGCATTCTATTCAGCTCACTGGTTGGCGGATATCTGTCAGATACGTTTGGCCGTAAGCGAATATCGTTTGTCAGCATGGGATGTGGAATTGTTGCTGGCGTTAGCTTAACGTTTACACGCAATTACGCTTCATTTGTCATATTATGGTTCTTTTCGGCGGTCTTTAACGCAGTATGTACAGTAGTTTCTTGTTTTGAACTGTTGTATCAGTTTTTTATCCACATGATCATACATGCACTTCAAAACTTCCCTCTACAGCGACCCTAAATTATGGCGCCCGAAAAAAAGTAACACGGTTTAGGCCTATCGTGTTTTAGTTATAATATAAAAATATACAAATAATAATAATAATAAAAAAAAAAAAAAAAAAAAAAAAAAAACATTTTACAGTTAAACAAAAACCCTGGGTAATCATTAGTCCCAAAAAACATACAAAACAAATCAGACAAATAGTGAATGATTGACAGCCTGATATACGAGGTAAAATGAGCAGTAGCGGGTACACATACACACACCCCCATGTCAAACACACCACACATGCACAACAAGACATACAAGTATTAATATCGAGCAATTTCTAAGAGTACATGGTGGATTTTTGTGTATCGATATGACATTAATATTGACTGTATTGTTGTAATTAATATTCATCATATACCTCTATTTATATTTTAACAATCTAATAATAATAATATTAATGATAATAATAACAATCTAATAATAATAATAATAATAGTAATAATAGTAATAGTAATAGTATTACTAATAACAATTATAGTGTAAAAAAATATTGAATTAGGAAATCATTGACATGGCTGTTTCTCTTTACAGCTTGTGTTGACGTGCTTTTTCACTCTCATTATCGAGATGTTCTCTTCAAAACGTCGAACAGCAGCAATTTGCTTGATAGGAATAGCTTGGTCGATTGGCCTGTGTTTTCTGACGCCAATCGCTTACAAGTTTCAAAATTGGCGCCATTTCGGATTAGCAATACATCTGCCTACCATATTAGCCTTACCAAGCTGGTGGTGAGGATAAATTGTCTGCTAAAAATTAAACAATCTACAGATCGATTGAATAACCGATTAATCGATTAATGAAATAATCAAACAACTAGTCAATCAATATTAATTAACCAACCAATCAGCCAATCAATTTAATCGATCAATCTATCAAACAACAAGTCAATCAATCAAACAAATCAATCAATCAAACAACAAATTAATCAATCAATTAATCAATCACTTAATGCAATTAACCAATCAATCATTTAATTAACCAATCAATCAATTAATCATATAATCAATTGATATTTATATATTTTAACTATATACCGTACTATTATTATCATTTTATTATTATTATTATTATTATTATTATTATTATTATTATCATCATCATCATCATCATCATCATCATCATCATTATCATTGTCATCATCACTATATAAACATTAAGCTGTTAAATCGGTCGGGGTTCAAGATAGGGGCGTCACTGGCCCTCCGGGTAAAGCTAATCCTATCACCACCATACATACAATAAGATCAAACAATATCAGATAATCATAGCTTTTGTGTTTGGAGACGCTAAGAAGAATATTGGTTTTATTATATATTTATATCCTCCATAGGTTTTTTGTTGAGTCTCCGAGGTGGCTAATTAATAAGAATAAATTTTTGGACGCCAGAGCAGCGTTTAAGAAAATTGCTAATATCAATAACATATCAGAAGACAAACAACAGTGGATTAACACTCTGCAAAATGTAAAAAGTGAAAATGAGGAAGTGGAAAAATCCAAAAAGATTCACACCATTCTGGATATGATTAAAACACCACGACTCAGAAAAATCACAATACTGATGGCTTACATATGGTAAATAATATTTCATTGTATTCAATCATTGATTTATAATGCATTTGTATGAGGTCAACTTTAATAGTTAGATCAGATTTAATGGCAGTGAATATTTATTTGAAAACGATGCTAGTATGTTTTATTCGTCGTTACCATAATATATTACAAATGATCCTTTTTTTTTACTTCCCGAAATTTGACATAACTATGTAGAAGAGCACCATGATATAAACTCCCAATAACTAGGACTAACATGTGAAAAAAATTATTAGTACATCACGCTATCAAAGAATAAACACGGATAAAGTTTTTTTTTCTTGTTTTTTTTTTATGGTTAGGGACACATATATTGTATAAAAAGTTATAAGAATGGAATCAAATTGGTGATTTTTAAAAAAATCAAAATTTCTCCAAAAGTGATGAGGGAGGGGGTGATAAAAACTAATCATTTTTTTATGGGCCTTATATCGAGTTTTTCCAGTAGAATGCATGCGTTAGACTTCAGGTCTAATGCAATATAACAAATTAAAGTGAATTTTCACCAGGACTTAAGGGGTTTTAATTCCATTATATGTCCACATTACGTAAAACAAAACAACAGAGAAATCATGGTCATATTGCAAATTATTCCTAAAAAGATGAACAACAATGCATTCTTCTTTATTAATTGTACTCTGACCAAAAACAATCTTGGTATCATGACCGTTCATCAGCTAGGAAAGTAATTAAATATACACCATTGTCTTCTGTGATTGGTTGATTGCTTACTTTTCAATGCTTAGTGGATATAATTCACTCTTCCAGATTTTTTTTGGCTTTGGTGGATGGATTTAATGCGTTACTCTCATATTAATTTTATATTTCTATACATTTTTGTTTGGGTATAATGATCAATTCACTTAATAGATTACATCCATATGATGCCCCTATGTCAAAAATTTCAAAAATGGATATAATGCTTTTTTTCCGAATCAAGGCATGCTGTCGCAATAGTGAAGCCTTCTTTAATAACAAATTGATTTTATGGTATTCCAATCAATCAAAGAATATTATCAAAAGAACACTACTTCTTACAAATAATGAAACCTTTTAGGAGAATTATGGGGAACAGAGCAGTCTATGGCTCTGATGGGGAATAAATTATAGCGAACCCTAAGAAAAAAAGGCCCAAATGGCTATTTTGATAGGCGCTTTAACATAATGATATTATGTTTTCTTTGTAATCAGTTTAAAAAGAAGTTCACTCATTGTGTGAAACGTGTCAAGCTCTTCAACATAGGTCTAGCAATATTTTTTTTTTATTGCGTACAGGTTTGTGGACAGTATGGTATATTATGGTTTATCTCACAACTCCTCTAAAATTGCGGGCAATCGATTCATCAACTTTCTCGTTATCACAGTAGCAGAATTTCCGGCTAGTCTTCTCGCCATATATATTTTGCCACGGTATGTGCTCAATGTCGTATTATATTAACTAACAAAAACAAAAGGAAACTTTAACGCAACGGCTATATTTTGCTGTTTCATACCAATGTTTTAAAACCACACACACTTTGTGTTAACGCCATCAATCTAACTGTACGATTTGATAATTATTGGTATGCTAAAATGATAACAATACTAAATACGAAAATGTGATGTTATGACATACTAAGACGATGATAATCATGACCACGACTATAATATACATTAATATTAATACATAAATCATGACAGTGATAGAGTAAAACCATCCTGATTCTATAGAGAGTTCTCCTACCATCAGGGATGCAAATTAGTTTGTGTTAAATTTTATAAGCAAAATGTTACTTTAATGTACTAACTTTAAGCAGGTAGGCCTACCTGCATGATTTAAGATTTTAAAAACACATCATAATGATTGCTTAATCACGTTCTGATAGATATGGTCGTAGGCCGCAGCTGCTTCTGTTTCAATGCCTAGCTGCATTGGCATGCATTATTGTAGCATTTGTACCAAAAGAGACAGGTAAATGATCTATATTATAATCACACTAATTCGAAAGCCCATGGACACATAGGCATAATGACTTTTTGTAGTGTTCTACCATTTATATACTACGGACACAACAGTACTAAATAGCTTTGCAATGTGCTCTGGTAATGGACCTTTAATTTTTTTTTGTTTTCTGTTTTTTCTAGAAAAAAAAATGTTAAAGGTTATAACTTAGGCTCAAATTAATACAGAAAAAAATTATCTCAAGCCATGCAAGCTCTCAGAATAAGATTTTTTTTTTCATGCTGGCCATATTGTATAATAATCCCTATCTAGTGCATACAGATATCCGACTAACTAATATGTGCCATGATTTGTCAACAGCAGGCGGCGTTAGCCTTTATTTCCTGATCACTACATTGTCTTTTATTGGAAAGTTCTGCATCTCCCTAACGTTTACAATAATTTGGCTTTTCGCATCCGAAATATATCCTACAATCATCAGGTAAAACAACAGTTGCTTTATTATTTTGATTATTACGATATAAACCATACGTTCAGATTCTAGGGTGTTCTATGTCTAGCGGTATGACGCTAATAATAATAATTATTATTATTATGATAATTAAAGTGCTGCAAAGGTAAATATATATTTAATAAATAAAAATCCAAGAAATGGCAACGAGTGGCTATTGAATGTTTACTTGTGGCAAATTAACACTACAATATACACCGATACATCTGCTTTATGAACACCACTTGAAACTCCAATTCGATTTGAAAAATTTTCGGCACATGTGTTTATTGGAACAGCTCTAATTTTCATACACTGATATCATACTTATACATATATTTGTAAGAGAAATAGAATATATTATATGCAGTAAAATAATTCGATCTATTTTTAGAACAACAGGTGTTTTCACTTGCTCAATGTTTGCAAGGTTTGGTGGTATTGCTGCACCGTACATAATGCATTTGGTGAGTACAGTACCGGTACTACACCTGTACTAAATTGTTAATAAAGTAATACGGTAACATATTTACTGTAGATGACAATTGAATAACACAATTTTGTTAGCTTTGGTATGTACGACTATCTGATTAGTCGTTATATTACTATTATTATTATTATTATTATTATTATTATTATTATTATATATCATTATATATATTGTGTGTATAATATATATATNNNNTCTCTTATACACATCTAGATGTGTATAAGAGACAGAGACCATAGAAGACATGGACAACCCCAGAAATGTCCAACCACTGAATACAAGGAATGAAGTGACGGACCGTGGTTTTGACGAGGAGGCAAATTTTAAAGTCGCTTGACTGTGTCGTTGTTTTATTGTCTAGAAATAGAAACAACGAAAGATCGGACAATTGAAACGTGATTCTATGTTAACTTTGTATACATATCCACAAACACATACAAACACATTAATACGTTACAGTGAGTTACGGTAGTAATTATAGTTTAATTGGAATCACCCCACTTGATATAAATACATAACCAAGCACAAACAAATTCCATGAGTTCCATAATATAATAAGCAAATTATTACGCTGGTTTGTATATAAAATACGAAACTAAAGCGGTGTTATTTCTCTGCGTTATGTCTGTCAAATCGTATTTAAAACCTCAAAAATGAAATTAAAACATTAAACTTCCCACGTAAAAGAATCAAATAATGTTATTAATTATTTAAATGATACACAACGTTTTCGCTAATTACAGACGTTCTCCAACAATAGGTATTTTTACCCTATTTAATTGCTGCGAAGCAGCCAATTCATATTCTTGACAGCAATTTGACCTCTGAAAGTCATTGTTTGTCAAAAAACAAGGGCCTAAGACAACTGAAAAGCGGAGTTTTCTTCTTTCGTTTTGCCGGGTAAAATCAATTACTTTAGGCGACGTTTGTAGACTAACCAACACGTACCAACGCCCGCATGTCGCGCTAGCCTTATCCTACTCTAGGCCTAGACTAGCTAGGATGGTATAGGCCTAGCCTTGAAGGGACGAAGGTCCAATGAAAAACAACGTCTCTGTTAGCTATCAATGTTGATAGCTAACATTGTCTATTTAACATCACAATAATTCATTATTAGACCTATAGTTGTTTTTTGAATTGTACTCCACAAATCTCAGCCGATATCTCGCACAACTCGAGTAACAGCTCGTATCTATTGTCGTGACGTCATGGCTCGCTGGCTCACACTTGCGATGTCTCGCACTTGTGATCAAATAAGACACTGGCTCGCACTTTGGCAACACTCTTTGGCAGTCAACTCGAGTTCAATGTGAGTTAAAATGGTCTATGAAAAAATGATATTGGTGGTACCTTGGCTCATATTTGGCCACTTAAGCAGCATAGCCAAACAATTAGCGAACCCCTGTATGACGTATAATTATGAAACTACTCGCTGCATCATGGAAAAACAAGAGATGAAAAATACAGGATAATTATCTTTTAAATATAACATATCTTAATACAATATCAACCAACCAACCAAACAATTAATCAATCAATCAATTAATCAACCATTTTAACAATAAAAGTAAGTAAATGAAATTCAATTAATAAATCAATCAATAAACAAATAAATCGAATAATAGTTAATCCTTTAGTATGCAAGCCATTGATACTCAATCAATCAACCGGAAATCAATCAGTTATTGTTGAACGACCGCCGTTGAACTTAAAAAAACCGCAAGTTTTAAAATTTGAAATTAACATCGTTCGACTATGGAGATGTTATTGTTGAAAACATATCAGTGTTGATGTGAGAGCTTTAAAATATATAAGTCGGTGGTGACGTCATCACTTCCCTTTGCACTGAATTTTCCTTCCTTTTCATGAGCTTACTATTTTGATAGACATTCGTCAAAGAAATAAAGCATTTGAGAGAATACAGTTCTGTAATAAAATTTTGGTCAGTGCAAACAGGTAAATTCCTGTGATGATTTCATATAGGCTTACCACAGTCTGTGGGCTTACGAATCGATCTAGCCCTGGGTCAGGCTAGGCTAGGCCTCCCTATATCTATATTCGTTCCTATGTAAATTCAATAAGAGGCTACAGGATACCACGATCACTGACTCGGTTCTTTATTCCCATCCACCGTTTACAGTGAAGCCATTATATAGCTGTTAGCCGAGCTCTCATCAGCTTCAAAACACTAACACAGCATAGTAAATTTGAACACCAATAAACAACACCCCAGCTACCTGTAACAACAGAATAGCATAAAATATATTAAAATAAGTATCATTAAATCATCAAATACTAGGAAAGAATTAAAATAATAATCTCAATCATTACAGTATAAGTATGCATGTACAACACAGCCAAAACTACAATGCTAATACATCAAAACAATACCGCAATTACAATCTAAGGGATCATCTCAGTCAAACACTTATCTAGTGCATTTAACCATGGAGGAAAGTTTTATTTCCTCCATGATTTAACTAACTATAAACGTTGAGGCGTATAACATGTTCAAAACTTTTATATTAATCCGCGTCTCCAGGGGCGGATTGCTATAAGCGGTCTTTAGACGGTCTTAACGGTTAGCCGGCTATAAGACCTTCCGCCTCTGGTTCCTCGCATGCACGTTTGCCCGGCAAACTCGTGCGCGATGTTCTTCGACAACGTATAGGCCTACTATTTAAATATCGTTAATTCTACCATAACACATCAAGTCATCGGGAGCTTAATACATCTACAGTATCTATAAACATTATTAAATCATGCAATTCAAGCTATACATACCGATCAAAGAGTTTCTGCTTGATTTTCAAGTGTAAACTTCAACACTGTTTTTGTACGAACAACCATTACAACGGTGTTAATATGGAATACGTATTTTAGTCTATTAAACAAATGCCAGGCTATCAGGAGGTTAGGTGTACTGTACCTAATAGCCCCTAATAAACCTTATTTAATCCATGTTTAACCACAATCAATTTATTCATCCCATTCGTATCGAGCAGTGTGCGAAGACTGTCAGTGCGCGTACTGTGTACTACCAAAGAACTTAAATAGCAGAAGAATGAGCTGCTCCGCGTATTTGTATTAAAATTGATGGAACATCCGCCCTCCCGCGAATGGGGTAAAATTGGAAAATTTTACTAAGTGGAGAAACTACAGGAAACAGACGAATCAGAGCGGCGCCTTTATTTTTGCTATATAGCGCCGCCGGGCGGGCGGGGTAAAATTGCTCTCTGTGTACCCACAATGCCTTTCGAACGGATGGTCCCCCATTATTGGGAAGCTGCTTTATCTTTTGCTATTTATTATCTTTCGTACTAACTGTACTAAGAAATCATATAACACGTGCAGCTAATGCACACGCGCACAGTGGTCACTGAGCACCGACCACGGCAGCCAGAACTGATGGATTTATGATATATGGCCTATATCAACCGCTCTACAGCCAGCAGTTTGATTATATTGCCATATAAAAGGTGATGGACGTCACAACTGACTTATAAAGCATTTATAAAAGTAATTATTGAAATAATTGCGTAAACTATAGGAAATGAGCCTCAAGCCTAGCGGGGCCTCAGGAATTTTTTTTCATGACTATAATTGCTTATTATACAAGCTAGATCAAAATTCTACTCGCAATTTTCTTTAATTTTTGGTATAATCGCACTGGCTAAAAGATTACAAAATATAAATCAAAACAACGGTAACGTTTTAGATTGATTTTTATGAATTATAATTTAATTTTTAATTTAATTTACATATATATTTAATAACATATAATTTTTTCTTTTGGGGTGACCCCATTATTGTTTAATAACTTTGCTTCTGAAAAAAGACCTGCAAATGTTATGCACAATATTAGCAATAGTTAAATAACATCAAGCGTGCATCTATACATTTGTACATGCACTAACTTCTGATCATTTATACATCATCTAAGGGTTAAAAGTCTGTCAAATACTCAATCTGAGCAGTTTTAAAGATGAAAGTCACAATACTACTTATGCAGGCTGATTTTCGTTGCGTTTGGATCTTGCATAGCCAAAAACTATTGGTCTTTCATCCACGAAATCGTGTTGCGTCATACCAGTTGGGGGTTCGTAGAACAAACTTCGTTGAAGCCATTTTTGCACAAGGTTGTGTTTGCAATAGGCCTACAGTATTAGGCCTACGCAACTAATTTAAAGTGGTTCACAATAAAATTGAGTGTGGCGACTACAGAGTACGGAACCTTTTTCCTCGCTTTGAAA